AAGTCAAACTTGTAATAAAATAAGTGTGTCTGAGGTTCTCATTGCATGACGTATTCACCTTTAACTTTATAATCAACTGTTGACGTCAACCCTGTCTGTCTATTTGTGAAACGTTTCATGAAACAGAGAAAGAGTTTTAATATCGCTCTCAAAAAGGATTAATTTCATGTACACCTACAATGACACCTACATTGAAATTGACCCATGYTGAGAGCTGCCAGTCATCTTACTACACTCTCCAGCAGCTAACAGATCTCATGAGATCCCACAATATTGTGTGCGTATTATAATAACGTTTTCATCATTTGCAATATTTGTCACATGACTAACTTTTTCATATTTCAACACAAGACGCTCGTAGTTTAACATTCTGGCACAAAAGGTTGTACATAGCATTCATTCAAGAAATRTTAGGCTTTTAATTTGAAGTAGAGTTTATAATTGAATACAAAGCTGTWATATGACATGTTCATAATGAAGCAAATCTACTATGTGATTCTTCTGAAAATTACCATTTTGGTTTGAACTGAACACATCATGTCAGGGTTTTGTCAGGTGACAAGCAATATTTAAGTTAATGTCTAGTTATGAATAACTACTGATTTTATTTTGATAGCTCATAACCACTGTGCTTCTAGGCGAACAAAATGTTTTTTCCATTTTTACAAATAAAGTTGAAAACTTCTGACATTTCCCAGTTCACAGTAACAATGTAATAGTCGACTACTGCTTTTGATTAGAATTATAAATAAATTATTAATATGGTTGATTCTAAATGTGAACATCATGCTTATTATGAAGCAGTTAAAATGAGGGAAAACCAACTTTAAAAACAATGATAACCAGAACAGAGATTGTGAGTTTCCAGCTTTGATTCTGATGAAAGCAACGTTCAGTTTGATTGTTTAAATAAAACACTGAAAGATTCAAACTTCCCGTCTCCACAAGACAAACTTCAAATGAGTGCCATCTTATCAGCTGCAGATGCAAATTCAGTATATTTTTCAAGCTCAACTTTTGTCTTTAGATTCCTGATCAAAGATGACACACCAGAGTTGGGCGACAGCTACCAACTGTAGCTTTCAAAACTAAAAGCATTCTTTATTTTCTCAAGTCTTCATGTTTTTCCTTAAGCAAAAATTATGCAAAAGAGTTGGATTAGTTTCAATAAAAATGGTTCAGAATAAAAAAATGGATACAGATGTAAGAAGAGAAAATGTGAAAAAGTTGTTAATTTAAAATTTGATTATAAATCCAGATGTTTATGTTAAATTCATTTAGGTATGCAAAAAATCTGATGGCAAATGGAGCCTGAAACTAACCCAATAACAGACACTGAGATGTTCCTGAGTCAAGTCAATGATGCAACAATTTAACCTGAACTTTTAATGACAGTATAAAGGATTAACTGAAGCGAAGCAGGGGACTTTGTGGCACACTTGCAAAAATAAACATGTTGGACAGCAATATATAGTAAATTACTTTGTTGTTTTGGTACTTTTAATAATGTGTTTTCTATAATGAGAAATCAGATGGTAAAGATAGAGCTGCACAATATTTTAAACAACAAGTACAGTGATGATGATATCAATAGAAATGCTTTTATATTTATGTTTGCTTTTATATTCTGTATCCTGTCTTCAGTGTTTTTCAGGTTGTGCTGTCTTTCTCAGTGTGGTGTCCTTGTTTCCTTGAGTGTTTCTTGTATCAAGTGAGTTTTTGAGCCGCCTCGACAGCATTTTTGCTTTAAATAAAACCTTTATTTTGGCACTGGGGACTTGCCTGTGCCCTGGGTCCATCTCTTGCCTAAAACCTCATGTTCTGTTACTAATTAGATGTGGGCATTGAAGCCAGCGAGAATTCATTGAATTGAGAAAAATGCAAATGTATGGGAGAAGAAAAATAAAGGAAAATCGATCAATAAAAAAAAACTGTATAAGGATGAATATAAATTTATTATGATAAAATTAATTAAACAAAAAAGCCTTTATTTGCCTTTAAATTGAATTCATCATAAAATTTTGACAAAATGTCATTCTTCATTCATAAACTAGAACAGCGATCTGATTTTCAGTAATGATAGTACGTTTTCCCGCTCTTTCAACAGCAGAGCGTCTGTCTTACAGTCGTGACAGTTATTATATCTATCTCAAAACTTGAAATATTAGTGATAAATACCAAACTAACACCCCATAAAAAGAGAAAGACAACTTGTATTTTCCTCGCCAATGTCAAAGAAGGTAAATCAAAGCAAATCGCCCTTTTGATGCACAGAGCTGGCAACAATGCTGGAATCTCTCCATGATGAAAAATACAAAGCATAAGCCAGTTCTGGCACCAGCTAACAACATTAGATGACACTGATGATCAATCCTTCATCGCACAAAGGAAAGAGYAGCTATTCAGCCTGGTTTTTCTCTCCAACTTGTCAACGAGCCCAGGCGCAAATCACATGCTCCAATCAACTCAGCAGGCTGAGCTCACTGCCCTCTCTCTCTGTGTGAGGARTGGAACAAAGGTGCACTCAGCTTCACCTGCACCTGCACCTTAAAGTGACGTCAGCATAATGCTTCTCGTAAGTCTGCTGTTTTGCTTTTGCTGCAACACAGAATTATTTATTTTACAATAGCATGTAACAATGTGGAACAATGAATAGATAAACATTTTCATACAAAGAGGAATGAAAGCAAATCTATAGGTAAATTACACAGCTGCAGCCAATGTGCCGGCCACATGCTTTCTCAGAACAATGCATAAAAAGTGTCTGAAAAACACAAATGTCACGAGCCAAAGCTTTCAGCTAAAAGTAAYGCCGACAACCTGCTGTAAAAACTACTTTTCCTCCGTCTCTGTGCCTATGATCCACTCAGCAGAAGCAGAAAGCAAAGGAGTTTTTAAATGTCATTATGTATCATTTTCCCCCTGAAATTTCCAACTGTTTACTTGCGGTTTTTCGGGGCCACAAACACACCCCCTGCAGCTTAAAGACAAGTAGAAACGACTCGCTCCTAGCTTGGCTGCCAGAACGATGTGCGCGTTTGTAGGGGTTTTGGGTATATTCTAAAATGGATAATTTGTGAATTATTTAAATATGCAAATTATCTTACCTCGAGGCACCACGCTCTTAATTTGATCAAAAACTAACACAGGAAAGAGACGAAAACCTGTAACTTTATTGTAATCAGTCTCACAATAAATGTACCCAAAATCGTTTGATGAGTTCTTGTCCTTATCAGAACCAATAATACTTTATCAAGACACAAAAGTGAGATTAGCTTATGTTGGCACCTTCTCCAAGGGCCATTTATTTACAGATTAAATGTGTTTACAACTATGGTGAGTAAGAAGTGATGACATGTTGAACCAGGTAAAACTGACAGAGTTTGCAATCACGAATAAACAAACAAACAACAAATAAAATAAACACTGAGGGGTGAGTTGGAGGTTTAGAGTGAGGTGAGGTGAGTTTTGCTTTTAGCTGAGGGTTTAACTAAGGGGGTCCTAATCAAATTAAGGAGAAAAATCGTTTAGTTTATCAAATCTCATACAAAGATAAGAATCAAATTACATCTGAGCACCTGTTTGTCACCAGGACAAATGTTCACTTTTACCCTTTTGTTCTGCTGATTGCGGTACCAGGAGGGGAAGTCAGCGCTTGAAGGTCATCTCTGGGGGTTGTTTCCYGGGTAGACTCTTCATGCAAGCTGGATGTCAGGCGGTCTGCCTGTAAAACTCGACTGGTCCCKTGGTCAGAGAAGGGGGTCACTCCCTGGTGACAATGTGGCCTGGTCCTCCCCAGGCGGCTGCAAGACTTCTTAATTTGATTTCAACTTTGTAGAAAAAACGAACTAAAAGCGACACATGAATTACAATTAGCTTATTTAACTTCTGTAAAATCAAACTCAGATGTTCAGTCGATATTAAACGTTGGCTGTTCGTTCAACCCAGCAGGAGAGGCAGAAGGGCCACTATCCTGCCCAGTCCATGGGGAGGGGCTGGCAGGCAGCGCCTCTGTTGAGCTTCTGGAAAACTGTTTCTGGCTTCTGATGTTGAAAAACTCTCTTTCTCTGTCTTCTTCTTCTGTCCTTGTCTTCTACTTTGTCTTCTAAGAGATTGGGAGTGGGCTAAACTTTTTAAAACCTCTGTTATAGGCGGAGTCAAGGTTTTAGTTGGCCAATAAAAATGTTACACCTTATACAGGAAAAGTTTTTTAACAAATCAAATCTGTTTTGGAGGGAAAACTTTACTTCAGGACAAAGAAAAAGGGAGTGTTTTAGTTTAATTATCTTGCATCTAATTAAAAGGGAGAGACATCTGCTTGCCTCAGTAAAATAAGTGTTACATTTAATTATTAAAGATTCAAGTCCTAAAGTTATTAAGGATTAAATCATGGAATAAAACACACATCTTATTCAGGAAAACATTTCATCAAAACAATTAACACCACAATACACACAGCTATTGAATAGTTAACTAAGCAAAACTTAGTAGATCCTTTATGGTCTTTTTAGTTCTTTTCTGTAAAAAATGGATTAGATGACATTCTTTGCAACAAGACAGAAAACATTAGATACACAGGTTCCTTTATCTTTTCTCCTTTTTTTCACATTTAATGAAGAATGTAGGTCCTTTGTTCTCAGTCACTGAAGAGTCTGGTTAAAGGCATTTATGATCCCTTTGAAGAGGAACCAACAGACAGTCCTGTGCTTATGGGGGATGGAAGCAACAGAACTTGTGGGGTTCRGAACAGGAATGTGGCAATTCTTATCTATTAGCAGTAAGGCRTCAGGACSTCTGGTGGGGGTTTGTGTRAGAGATGTTAATTCGAGCCACAAAGGAAGTTCCATGCAAAAGTCTTTAGAAAATAGTCTGAAGTCAAAGTGGAGGTTTTTCTTCCTTCCTGAGCCGTTTTCATAGGAACAAGTGAAATCTAATCAGAAATGATTTTTTATATGCAGGAAAATGCTACAGCATTGCTCCGCRCGTAGTATGCTACTCACCATGGTGCAGCTGCCCTCAGCATCGTCGTCCAGCAGGCCCAGTCTGCACAAAGCCTTCTCGTTCCTCAGCCAGTACTCGGACGAGTCCAGAACACTGTTACTGCACAAAACCTGTAGCACACACAGAACAGAGGTAAAACACAGACGTATAGCAGACGACACATGTTCATCTTTTCACTATTCGTCATCGGAGTGCGTGTGTTTGTGTTTGGAAACATAAGATCATGCAGCCTTACTGTTGTTATTCCCAATTTTTTCAGCTTTTGACTCACAAAATAAAAGCACCAGAGACCCCAACAAGTTTAAGTTGATAAACATTGATATCATCTGGTGAAATGAACAAGAGCATAGTAAAACTATTTGTTGAGCTATTTTTTTTWATCAAATTTAASTACACTAACCTTACTCTTTTGTAGCCATGAAGGAAAAAATTTGTTAGTAGTAATTTGTTAATGTAATTCATTCAGACAATCTTTTCAGGAMCCCATCTTGATATTTTGGAACCAAGTGTGGGTCCTGACCCCAACTTTGGAAACCACTGTTCTAAAGTRCTGTAAGTGTCCAAYAAATGTTCTCCTATTAAAAAACATTTTAATAAAACCTACAGTTCCATTGCGGTCAGATATACCTGTCAAYATGATGAAGTCTTTACAAGTGGAAGTTAAAGCTTCCTTTGGATTATAAAGAATGATTAGGTATAATAATACTGTAGAAGCCTGAGTATTTGAAAACAAAACTGAATACCCATTAGGGTTTAAACAAAGCACACATTATTGGTTGTTTCCTTGTAGAAAAAGTGCCTGTTTATGTTATATACTAGAGTAAAAAATAATGTCATAACGTCCCAGTGTGAAAAATGTCAGCTATTTTGTTAAGTCAGAATGTGTCCAAACATGTAAAGGCAGTGTCTAATCATGTGTGTTTGAACAAAATTGTGTTAATGAGTTTTTATCGACTTCAGAAACAAGTATGAAAAAAACAKCATAATATCAGTGCTTGTACTGTTGAAGGAGAGATCCCTTTTGTAAAACTGTCTGACCATATAAAACAGTTCATTGTTAAATAACTGAAATCTCCCAACAGCTGTCAGTCTCCAAGTGCTTTGTTTAATTATGAAGTGAAATATTACTAAACTGTGAAAGATAGGTCTTTGAAGGATAGCAGAGAAACAGAGTTGAATTTTTACTTTTTTGTGAGAATATTTCATAAACCTTCACATAGCTGACAGTTACAYATTACATAGTTATTCTAGTAGAAATGTTTTACAGCTCCTGCTAGAAGGGCCGTCAGACTTCAATGGAAGTGCTACAGCTAGCTGTTGCTGCCACAGTCTTGGAAAAATAACACTCCCTAAAGTCCCACATACTTCTCAGGTCAAGAGTCAGTGACCTCTTTTGCTTACCTTAAAATGTCCAYGTTTTATGATTTTACTCTTTATCCTCTGTTTTCTCTCAGATAGTGTTTCACAACCAGGACAATATCTGTTTAGGAGTAATCATTCTTGTTGCAGTTTATCAAACATCATTCTCTCCTTGGCCCAATTTCGGCACCAAGAGAGATGTTTGTCTGTTTGGACAACATACTGTATAAATGCGTGTATTTGAAACTGCCTCAGGGCTCACATTTTGTACCACTGCCCTGTATGACATGATGTGTGTCTTGCAATTGCAATAAATCCTGATTGACCATTTCACAGAGTACTTTTCATTCTTTTTTTATTTTTGGATCACGTGTTTCTGTCTTGGGTAAATAAAGAGTTCCATGACAGCCACTTTTTGCTCTTCTGAGTAACTAAATAATTTAATGTAAATAATCATCTGTGAGTGAAGGTAGTGTAAATGTTTATTAAATAGTGCTTGCATCACCAGCTATGGCATTTCTGAGATTGGAGTTGTTTTAAGATGGCAGCAATCCATTTTGGGCTTGACCCTGACCATTTACTTGTCAATCCAGTTAGAAATAAACATTGCTATTATATATACTGTATATATATAAACTACATTTTTACACTCATTTATCAAAACAGGGATTGTTATCTTATTAAACCTGTTGTTTTTATCGCTGCTGCCCATGTGAAGTCATGAATTGTCTCTAGAATCTCATTGTAAGAAAATATCATGACTATAAACTTTTCTTAGCAATTATTTTTGTATTTAGAAACACTTTTCACAGAATAGGCTGCCAAAGCACAGTATAGCACCTGCAAATTAAATCTGAAACAATGATTCTTATGCAATTACTTTGACACACAACACCTACATGTGCACTGCTCATTCAGTGCGAGTATTTTTAGTGACATGTCGTGCCCCCTCGTGTTGGCACCCGCTGTAACAGGCCATCTGCGCAGGCCTTCGGCCAGGTAAATGTGACATCCGAGCTCAGCTGATTTCACTGGGGATGAAAATACTGAAGGTTGCCAGCACCTTTCATTCAAGCCTACAGCCCAATTATAAGACAGACATCACCTTGTGTCTCTACAGGACATTCAGGTGAACGCTGGTAAAAATCATGAACAGTGGCTTAATTAGGAACATGCACACACTATACTCACATATTGTACAATACAGTCAGACATAAGAGTAGACCTGCACACACTTTGAGAGGAAATTCAATCTAGCCACCACATCAGCCCACTGATCTGTACAGTTTCCCATCGCGTCTCTGTGGCACTGCGGGACAATAAATCTACTGAACTGAGGGTCTGACTGCTGCTCTTATTACACAAACTTTGGGTTGCACTGGCACCCATGTGGAGGAAAATAATATCTATTGCACAGCTGGAAACACACAACCAGAAGTCAATGGACAGGCAAATATGATCTCAAGGTGAGAAAGAAAAAGTCAAGTGTTCTAAGTGCAGTTACAGTGTGGTAAAAACTACCCAAACTTCTTGGTATCCTTTCTGTTTTGCTACCTTACAGCTGGTCATTGAAACTTAGTTTTATTCAATATAAAGACCTACACAAAACACAGTGGATAAATGGCATAAAATGTTGCAACATCTGACTGAGGGACTCTCCACACGAGTCAGAGACATGTTGTGAAGAAAGCACAAGTCAGATTATGAATTAAAACCTGAATGTCACACGGAGAACCTTCAAATCCATTATTAGAAATTGGGAAGTTCAAGCCACCACAGCCAAAGTATCGATAGGGACAAGGATGAAAGACAACATTAAAAAAAAAAACATCCTCACAGGTTTTAATGATGGGGCAGAGAACTGATCAGCATTGGAAAACAAGATGTACGGTGCAAAATTTTTTAATAAAACAAATCAAATAACATCTGTTTAATTTTCCAGGTTTTTGAGACTGGGGCAGAATCTTACAGTTCAATGTCCCTGCTATGCTAAAGCAACACTGTGGTGGTTTAGGAAGAAATATCCTGAAGTAGTGTTAGTTGGACCTTAATCCAACTGAGAATCTCTGGTTTGAGTAAAAGATTGTTGGTCACAAGTTGCACGTATCAAACCCAAAGAAGCTGGATCAGTTTGGTTATGAAGAACGAGTAAATAACCCAAAGGTTAGACTAACCAAGACCTTGAAGACATAACTGAAAAGACTTGCTGCTGTAATTGGTGCCGAAAATGGATTTACACAGAACTCATTTGGAAGTGGTCTTGGCGGGCGGAGAATAAAGTAGGTATGTACAGTCTTYCAACATTTCTTGTAAATTTCAGGTGATAAGGCAGAGGCTATACCAAACAGGAGGTGAATACTTGTTGAGTGTAGCTATTGTGTCCAGTTCAAGAGGCAAATCTCTGTACTTACCTTCTTGCATGCGCTGATGGACGAGGCCACGGTACTCTCTGTGCTGCGTCCCTCCACCTCCACAGACTCCGAGCCTTCAAACATGGCCGACGACTGAAAGTTACTGCGAAGCAGAAAGGGCACAGACRTTGTCAGGGCAGGTTCTCATCAAGTGCATAATGACTCCAACTTTACACAACAACAACAACTGAAATCAGCAAAGTCTCGTAGTCCCCAGACCATTAGACGTCACATTTACTCTTGTTGTAGCACTGCTTAACCACACCAGTCTGGAGACTTGTTCCAAATTTCACTGCTAAATATTTGGCACGTTTTACTTGTTAAAAAAACTGCCAAACTTATCTGTTCAAATGACATCAGTTTTTCAGCACATACAGTATAATTCATCAAAAGTCTTGTGCATTGTGAACTTTCTCTGCATGAGCACACATGAGCAGATTTCTGCTGTTGCACCTTGTTGCAGAGGACTGACCAACATAAAACAGACAAATATTTTCTGAAAGCAAAGCTGTCAAAACATGAAGTCAGCTGTTGCAAATAACTTCAACAAAGGAATGTAGGACAGAAGGGTGAAAAAACAACGCATGACCTCAACTTGGTGAATGGAATGATTTTCCCTGACAAAATTCTGTCATGATGAAACAAAAAACAAGGCAAAACAATTGTGCAATAAGGTGCGCATGCTTTCACAGAGATAAACCCAGCCAAAGCTTATCTGCAAGTGCATTAATGAGGATCAATTTGGAAAATGAAGAGGCTGCATGCATATTTAACTAGGAACAACTGGGGAGGGGTTATATAATCGACACATTTCAGAGCAAATCAAAAGCAATCCCCTTTTAAAAAAAACCTTGAGGGATTATTGTAACTATTTACTGTTACTGAACAAGACTGTTGTGTAAATAATTGGAAAAAAGAAGTGCTGATAAATGGATTAGATGTGGTTTGAAATATGTTCTTGTATCTGCAAGGAAGACATCAGAACATCCATCCAACCAGAGGTCGGGTCTATTTCCTGGAAGCTCGCATGTGCAGCGCAAAATGGAAGCAAATATTCCAACTCAACACATGATACACTGATCCTGATGCAGTTCATGATTTTTTTT